CTCCTACATTCTATTAAAATATAAGAGAATAATTTGAGTATAAAGATCTATTATTTTCGTATTATGTGGTTGATTTTACCCTTTCGGGGAGGTTAACTAATACATTAAAGACGGATTTGAATTTACTTTTTTAATTTTTAAAAAGAAAAAAAAAGTATTTTTTTACCAATAAATGACTATTATAGAAAATTTGCAATTATGACCCAAAAAAGGGGTGAAAATGAAGATAATGAAATTTTGGGGGAGGATTTTTAGAGGGTGAAAAAGGAAAAGATGGAAAGTTTAAGAATTAAAAAAGAAAAATAAAATAAAATAAAAAAAGTAAAATTTGAATATTTGCAAGGCTTTTAGAATTCACGAGTGATGGGATCGAGGGCGGAATGACGTTTTGGACCTTGACTATGCTTTTCTTGCCTAAGAAGATCTTGTGTCACCCTTCACTTTACCGAAAGTTGGTGCCTCCCTTCTCCACTTGCTGCCACGTGGCACTGTCATTTAATCAAACGTTACCCGCAGGTGAGAAGAGAGAGAGAGAGAGAGAGAAAGAAATGAGTATGGCTTTGTTGTCCCTCTATTCCAAGCATTCTTTGCTTAAAGAGAGGTTTTAAGGGATGGAATAAAGCCAATTGAAGGAAGCAATGTGTAAGAAAAGTAAAGGCCCAAAGTTTAAATCTCATTTTGGTAGTTTTTTTAACCGTTAAAAATATATTTTTAATCCCGACCATTATAATTTAGTCCCTAAACTCTACGTATTTATAATTTTGCAACAATCAGTCTATTGTGAGATCTCATATCAGCTCGAGAAGAAAACGAAACATTCTTTACATGAGGTAGAAGCTTCTTCCTAATAGACGTGTTTTAAAATTGTGAGACGCAGACGATACGTAACGGGTTAAAGTAGACAATATTCGTCAGTGGTGGGTTTGAGTTGTTACAAATGATATTAGAGCCAGACATCTGACAATGTGTCAGTTAGGATGTTGGGCTACAAGGGGGTGGATTGTGAGATCCCACATTGATTTGAGAGGGAAACTTTTAAAACCGTGAGGCTGACGACGATACGTAACTGATCAAAACATACAATATTTCCTAGTAGTGGGTTTGGGTTGTTGCATCTATGTAGTTTAAAATTTTAGTCCCATAATTTTCATGACATTTACACGTCATGTAACAACTCATGTCTCGGACCAGACACCTAATAGCTCTGATATTTTCCTACATTCCATGCGACATGGTCACGTTTCATACTCTTCACTTAAGAGTGCAGACTATCCCCACATATCAATATGAGTCATTCCAGCATATTTTGTCCTCACTCACATGTATCATAGAAAATTTCTTAGAATAATATAAATAATATAAATCTATCTAAAACTTATAATTTTTAGGTGGGTTTGATTAACCATTTATTTAATAAATATATATTTTTAAAATTAAATTTATAAATACGTCTATTTCTTCATTTTATTGCCTATATTTTGAATTTTTTTTTAAAAAATTTTGCTTCGCACGTGTACTTTTTAAAGAAGGTGAGAAAATCAATTTTAAGTTAAAAAAAAAAAAAAAAAATTTAAACAGATTATTTTTATTTTCTAAAAAGAAAAAAAAAAATCATGTGTTGGCCATATTGCCAAGCCAACAAACCACAAGCAATAAGGCAAATATCGAATGCTGACTGACAACCGACAACAGCCTGTATAGACCAAAGTGTTGTATGTCGAAGAGAAACAATCTCGAAGGAGTTGTCACCGGTCATAGCCGGTATTCACGTGCCCCATTTCTGCCCCCAAGCGTACCATTTTCACCAGCCTCCTCGGACCCATTTGAAAGGAACATTTAGTCTATATTTTAATTTTAATATTATTTAATATACAGTTTAATTTTCCACTCTAAAATAAAAAATATCATATACTCAATTACCGAGTTTAATATTTTTTTAATAATTTAATTTCGATTTAATATTATTTTAATAATTTAATTTCAATGTTTTTTAAAAAATAAAATTAATTTTTTTTCTCAATAATTTAATTAAAATTAAGAAGGAAAAATAATGAAATAAATAGAGATTTAAATTTATTTCCTTTTTTAAAAAATATAATAAATAAAAATTTGATTAGTTTAGTTGATAGTACGATGAGACAGATTTAGGTAAAGGGATTTTGCTTCTTGGAATCTTTTTGAGATTCCAATTTTGATTTTATTTTTATTATTATTTTTGGTAATATCCTCACCTGCAGGGCATCTCAGTTCCTCACCCGTGCAATCTGATTGGATTAGACCTCTCACAGTACTCCTCACCAGTGGCATGTTTGTTTACTTGCGTGACTGCCCAATCACAATTAAAATAAAGGCCAAATTAGTAAAATAAATAAATAAATAACCCTAAGCCCTTAAAAATAGTATCAAAGTATTAAAAAATTTCATTAATGTTTATAATTTTTTAAAAAAATTAAAATAAATAAATAAATTATATTTTTTAAAAAGAAATTATTGAAATTAATATCACACATGAAATGTTATTATCCAACAACTACTGAAAAAATAAAAATTAAATAATTTATAAAATGCTTTTTTTTTTTTTTTTTTTTTTTTTTTTTTTTTTTTTTTTTTTTTTTTTTTTTTTTTTTTTTTTTTTTTTTTTTAATCTTCTTAAGACAACATGCCCTCATTCCAAATCATTTATAATTAAATAAAATCTAAATATTTTTGTCTCCTTGTCTTTGTTTTCTTTCTTGTATCTCTTTTTATAATCAACATTAATTTCCTAAATAATAAATTTTAAGGCTACCGAAAAAATATATATTGTTCGATGTAGGTCAATGTTAGCTTTCACGTCGAGATGATGAAATATTTAATCAAAAGAGTTTGTAATGGACATGCTCCTAGAATAGTATTGTGTCCATTACACTCGATATTTAATTTAGTACTGAAGCAAAAATGGTGTCGAGACCTCACTAGTGAGATTAGTCCCTTTCCTCTTTGCCATATGGTTTGAGTCGTAGATGACGTGAAAACGAAAGTTTGCTAAGGGAGGGGGTTAGATCGATTCTTGATAAGTTGCCTCCCCCTGTAGGCTTTGTTTGTACCTCATCGGCTAAGTCGTTGCTCTGGGAAACTTTGTTGGGAGTTCGATGGTAGGTGTGATCCATGTGGTGTCGGAGGGACACACAAACAAGGTGACGTATATTTGACTAGTGTATTGATTGAAATAGTGTATATATGTTATTCGTGGGCTTAGACTGTTATAAATGGTATCATGGTATCAGATCCAGACACTGAGCGGTGTGTTAGGGAGGACGCTGGTTCTTCGAGAGGGTGGATTGTGAGATCTCATATCGGTTGGAGAGAGGAACAAAACATTCCTTTAAGGGTGTAGAAAACCTCTCCCTAACAGACGCGTTTTAAAACTGTAAGGTTGACAGTGATACGTTACGAGTCAAAGCAGATAATATTTGCTAACGGTTAGCTTGGGCGACTTGCATTTGCACGTTTAACTCAAATGTGGCTCGCTTCCTTTTAGGTTTAAAGCAGCATCAAACCAAAATTTCTACCATGTATTAGTGCTTCCAAAAAATGAGATGATTCAAGTGCATCCTCTAGTATGACTTGTTTGGAGCTTTCGAGCACTAGCCCTACATTAAGGAGATAACTTCGAGCACGGTCAACTTTAAAATGGAACAGAAAGTGTCTACAACGTTCGAAAAAAAATTCACTGTCGTATAGTTGATCGATGATTATTAGTGATTCTGCATTCATGCATGTGAGTTAGAATATTAAACCCTAAGCTTACAAGCAACGAACAAAAAAACAAAGCTTTGACCACATGGCCTATTAAAGAACGTGCCAACGGCTCATAAATAGTGACTTGGTTAAGGAAACCCACCATAGCCGTAACAAAAGCTAGCCTTCTTAGATAATACGTATCAAAATTTTATTTCTTCTCGTTTTTAATTCACATATTTTAAATTAATTAATTATTAGTTTTAGAGAGTAAATTAAGCACTATATTTGAATTTATAATTATGTTAACAAGCAACGTTACAAATTGCGGTTTAAATTCAAATATTTAGTTCGATAATTAGAAGTAAGGAATCTAACTTAACTTTAATTAAAGTAATTAATGTTTATTAGACATTTAGATTCTTCACATTAGTATATATTTAATTATTATTACTTTTATGTTACAGAATTTAAGCTTCTATTAAAATTATACCTAATAAACTTTAAATATTATGCCTAATAAAATTAAAATTTTATTTAATTTGTAAATAAATAAATAAATAATCACAATTTTTTTAAAAAAATTTACCAGTTTTATTTTTTCTTCCATATTTAAAATTTATTCTACATAAAATTAAAAATTTAGGAGAATAATTAATAATATATAATTAAAAATTTGTGATTATTAAATGACTTAAAAAAATAAAAAGGGTAAAATAGAGACAAAAAGTTCGTCCGTTATAGTTCAATATACCTAAATTTGAAAGCTCGAGAACTCGTTCCGTTATAGTTCAATATACCTAAATTTGAAAGTTCGAGAACTCGTTAGACACGTTTTAAAATTTTTTGAGAGGAATAAAAAAATGGATAAATTTGTAATTTAACAAATTTTGAAAATTAAAGCAATTTGAAATGAATTTTTTCTTTTAAAAGGAAAAAGATAAAAAACGAGGGAGGCGATGGATCAAAATCACGATATTGTATTTGGTTTTTTACATTAAAACGAATCTCCACCGTTGATTTTGTTCTTATGAGAATAATATCCAATCAAAAATCGCCACGTGTCAGACTTCCATCCTCGTCAATACGTCATCAAAACATGTGGGCCCAGGCTGTCCTCTGGGGTAATGACCAAACGTCAATCCACTGTTAACAATTTCCCCTCTCTTTCCTTACACGCAGAAGACAATTTTCGTTAGTTAACGGCGGAAATCAGACGGCGTTATCCCGGATTCTCTATATAAATAGCTTCTCTCGAATTGAGCTTATTTGTTGTCTCTGAATTTTATTTTTGCCGATATTTGGGCTCTCGCTAACGTAAAACCCGGAACTATAATATCCCAAACTTTCCCTTTCTGAACAATTTTTTTTCCCTTTTTTTTTGGGATCTTTGGATTTTTGATTCGGACCTTGTGTTCGCCGCCGGTGGACGCCGGCGAGCGTTCAATTCGGTTCTTGATTGCATTTTGATTCTGCTGTTTGTTTGGAGGTTTTGGCAGAGAATCAGCGAGTGAGAGTTGAGTGAGAGAATGCCTTGTTTGTCAGTGTAACTGCAGAAATTAAGCGCGAAGAGGCTCTGATTGGCGGTATTTTAGGGATTTTGATTGCTGTTGCTTTTGGTTGCCATTGCTGTGAGAGTGTGATTAAAGCGAAGATTTCTTGAAACGGAAAATTTTGAGGAAAAAGAGTGGGGAATTCGCCGTTGACAGCCAAATAGTGCGCCTGATTTCAGTTCGATTTTCGGTGGATAAGCTTCTGAGGAACCTAAGAGGTGAGATTCTTGCTGCATTTACTTCACCGTTTTCTTCAATTTGGTCGTCTTTCTTAGCAAACAAACAGAGTATTGATTTCTCAGAGAATCTTCTTCTCTAATTCTTTTTTATTGTTTTCTTCCTTCTGATCATTGTTTCATATTCGAGTTCTGTTTTAAGGATCCAGAACGTTTCTAATGGTTTCTGTATCCATCCTCTGTAATGTTCTTCCAATAGAGAATCATTCGACGCCATTTCACTAATCGGTGGTGTTTAACGTTTGAATCATTTGATTGATTCTGTCTCCGTGCGTTGATTCCTATAGCCTTAGCACTTACTCTATTTTCCGTTTCTCTTGCTGGATATGAAGAAATTAGATTAGCTTTCTGGAGAAGAGAAGTAAACAGGGAACGATAAACAGCGGAAAGTCTGTAAAAGAGAATTTAATTAGGGTGTCGAAGAGGGGGCCTAAGATGGACAAAGTCTGTAAATCACGGTTGGCTTTTGCTTCGATGAGTCGTTTTCGAATATTAAAGATTGAATTAAATTGATGAACCAAAAGAAAAAAATATCAACGTCATCTTCTGCTTCTGCTTCTGCTTCTTCTTCTTCTTCTATGTCTCAGTGTTATCCTCTCCATATTCATTGTCTCTCTGTCGTCTCACCCACAGCTTTCAATCTGAAACGATTAATTTTGCGTTCTTTCTTCCTGAATCTCTGCTGTTGTTAATTAATGCATATTTCTCTCTCTTAGTCGCTTTTTTGGATTTCTTGGAGACGGAAGAGTGATGCGATTTGCCCATAGGGAAAAAAGAAAGAGCCAATAGGTTGTCAGAAACTTTGGCATTAACAAATATTTGATTCTTTATTCGGCTTTGTAAGAGTAAAGCAAAGCATGTACCACACTCGGTCTCTCTCAGTCGACTACTTTCAAATTGGCTGTGCCCCCATTTACTTTCCTTTCAATTATCGACTCCCCCTCCCCTCTTGTTCCTATTCTGATCTTTTCTTAGTCGTCTCTGATCCCGAGCAGCCCTTTTCCTTTTTTCCTTCCCTTTTCCTTTCTCCAGGACCCATCTGTTTCCCGCGGATCAATGAACGAATTTATATTTATTTCAGATTCCCCCAGTTTCCTTTTGTCCCATTTAGCCGCGTACCTACTACATAGAAGTTTATATAACCCATTCCTTTCTTTATTTCTTTCTTTAACACTACCTAAGCCATCCAAAAACAGAGAAATCAGTGCTTTACTCAATCGGTTTCCTCATGAAAGTTAATTTAAATGATGGTGGAAATCCTCCAATTGGAAACTGTTGTTCTTTACTATTCGAGTATTACATGTCTATCTCAATGTTGGGTAAAGGGAAGGCTTGTTTGTTTTCTTCTCCTCACTCAATACACAAGAGAAAGAGTGAGAGAAACAAAGGGAAAGTCGCCGGATTATGCAATTAATTTTTGGGATTCCTTTTTTTCTTTCATCAATATAGTATCCACTAAACCTCTAGGTGGAACCTACTTGTTTGTTATGTGCAGAGTAAAAAAGGCAAAGTTGAAGGAAAATGTTTACATGCATAGCATGTACGAAACAGACAGACGACGGGGGTGAGGATGGGGCTGCGCGTGGTAGTGGCACGCCTAGTACAAAGGAAGCCGTCAAAAGCCTGACAACACAGGTTCTTAATCCTATACCCTTCTGTCTCTTTTTCTCTGTCTTGCTCCGGCTACATCTTTGTTTTCTCAGTTTCTTTTCCATCTTGTGAAAACAGACAAATCTCGTAATACCCATTAGCGTTGCGATAAATGGGGACCATCTATGCCTTCTTTTCACCAATATGAATGTGCCTAATGTTTATTATTTCTTTTCAAATCTTTTTCAAGATTAGATTTAGGTAGGAAAGTGTTAGCGTTTGTGCTTTCTTATGACGCGCTCTAACGTTTTTGTCCTTGAGCACTTCCTAGTTATTACGTTTTTGTTTTGTCATTTAGAAGCCAGTGATTCTTTTAACAGATTACCAAAATTTTGTCCCGATGGCTCACAACTTTCTAGTCCACGTAGCTTTCATAGGGACACGTCGTATCAGAAATCTGACTTTGCTGACCTGCAGCTCTTCTTGGCTCCCCCGGTTACCGATAGAATAAAGATTCTTGTTTGATAGAATAAAGATTTTTGTTTTTTGTTTTTTCTCTTAATAGTTTCTATTCCCAAATGATCAAAGTAGTACATGCGCTTATCGAGAAGATCCCCATTCACCCACCTCCAGCCTTCCATCGAGTACGAATTGTTTTGCTTGCTTTTCACTCCCGCAATTATTAAGCAAATTGAGATATATTCCCTACTTATAAATTCATAATTATTCTCTTAATTAGTCAATTTGGTATTCCCTCCTACCAATTCTCAACATTAAGGATAGTGGTTCATCAAGTGTAGTTTGTTTGGCTGGATTAACTTTCTTACAACTAGATAATTTCATTTTTGGAAGATGAATATTGGAACTATGCAACCTTACCATCAGCTACTGTTATTTAGTTACGGAAATTATGAGCAGGGAAATTTTGCAAAAAAAAATTGAAGTTTGCGCTCATAATAGTATATATGCTAACAACACCCATTTTGGGATTGGGTCTTAGTATAAGTAAGGATGACTGGTCTAGTCTGTCTTGGAAATGTGATTTTGCCAAGAAATAGTGGCAGCACATTTTGCGTCAAGTAGCGGTGGGGTCATCGACATATTCACTTCGGAATAGACAAGACGCATTTTAAGAAAGGACAGCCCAATGACCGCCTGAATGTGACCCACCATTGAATTTTTGTCGACGCACTGTTTTTCAAAAGTATTGCATCTTACCCAAACCCTTTCTTTGCAGGATGAGAAACCACTTGATTGGCAATAAGATGTTAATAAGACCTTTTTATTTTATTGATTGTTTGGGAATTTCAATTCTTATGACACGTGATATTATTTCTATTCTTAAATACCTTAGGAACATATCTTCCAAAATAACTCTTCCAAGTTGTAGAATCCACTTTCCTGAACCACCATTCAACATGCTCCACGTAATTCAAAAGTGGATGTGTTTCTCACCAAGTAAAAAATGTTCAATTTCATGCGTATTTATTGATTCACAATGGTCGAACTGTACACTTCACTCCATTATTAATATAGTGACATGCATTGGATACGATATACAGCCTAATATTCAGGTTAAAAGAAAAAAAAATAGATATTTTGTAGTCACATATTCAGATTGAGTATAAGTTTCCATGACTTTGCTTTGAAATTTTTCAAAAAGGCTTCGTAGGGCTTTTAGGCTTTCCCAAAATACTTCTTACCCATAGAATATATTCATTACTTTTAGATCAAAGATCATTCCCTAGTAGTCAACTTAGCACTCCCTCCTAACAATCCTAACCGTACTAACTTTTGCATGTTTTCTTTCAAGCTGAGTTTCTCTCCTTAATTTCAGTATTAAGAGGAGCTCAAGCTGTCCTTATTCTAACTGTGGATAGCTACATTCTACAGATTAAGGACATGGCGTTGAAATTCTCCGGTGCTTATAGACAGTGCAAACCCTGCACAGGCTCCAGTAGCTATAAGAAAGGACAGCGACCTTACCCAGATTTTGACACTGCTTCAGAAGGGGTTCCATACCCCTACATAGGAGGGGCAAGTGCAAGCTCAACCCCTGCCTGGGACTTCCCTCGTGTTAATCGCCATCCACATACCAGATCTGACTCTAGATTTAAAGGGGTCTTCCGAGGAGATCAGACTCCTGGAGCCGATTCCTCCATATCAGCATGTGATGTGGTGCTCGAGGATGACGATGAGTCGAAAGAGTGGATGGCACAGGTGGAGCCTGGTGTTCACATCACTTTTGTGTCCCTACCCAATGGAGGCAATGATTTAAAACGAATTCGTTTCAAGTAAGATGAATAGTAAATGCTTAACGCTGTCGGTTCCTATGTCTAAATTAATATCTTCTTTAAGCAAAGTTAACATTAGTTTTTTTTTTTTTTTTTTCTCCTTGAAGTCGAGAAATGTTTAACAAATGGCAAGCTCAGCGTTGGTGGGGCGAGAACTATGACAGAATAACGGAGCTCTATAATGTCCAGAGATTCAACCAGCAAGCTCTTCATACGCCACCAAGAACTGAGGACGGGGTAAGTCCTCCAGGACCTTTGCTCCTGACTTCTATTTCTCCCATTAAAATGACGCAAGAGTAAATGTTTCAAGGACTAGAATTCATTGGATTTTGTGTCGAACACAACTCTTTGTGGTGCTTTCTGATTGCCAGATCTGTAGAACAACTTTTTGTGGTCCAATAAGTAGGATGGAAGAGTATTTATACTAAAGTATAGACAATTTATTTCTAAAATGCCTAAATCATTTTTCATAGACAATTAGTTCATACGATTATTGGATTTGACCTTATTGGGCTAGTGATGATATTTTAACATTTTGTACATGTTTGATATTTTCGGTCATATCGAAGAAAAAACAAAATAATGATTAATGAAAATGCTCATACTTTCATACCTTGCATAGATGATATGTTCTTTATGAGCTATATATGGCAGCAGAATAGGAAAATACAGTGGAAAAGAGCTTAATCTTGTCCTTAGCTCTTAATTCTCAGCTTAGTAGACCATGGGATCACAAATGTATGAACACCTGATGTTAATAATGCTGATACCAATAAATCTGTATTATGCTAATCCCCAAACTTTGAATATTTTTGCATCATCTTCAGTGAAAATTTTCTGATAATTCTGTAAATGTTCACAATCTTCAGAGGGATTCTTCTTACTCAAAGATGGGAAGGGATAGTCCGATGACTTCAGGGAACAAAGATTGGACGCCAAGAAACTATAAACCTTCTGGGAGTAAAGGATTTCCATCTGACCAGCATTTTGACCAAGGAAGCAGTCACCATTATGCAGGTTCAAGTGCCTATCCAGCAGGTAGCGCGAAAGGCGACATGTCGTCTATGGAAGCATCACGCACAACTACTTCTTCTAGAGACGAGCCTTCAATTTCCATTAGCAATGCAAGCGACATCGAGGCGGAGTGGGTCGAGGAAGATGATCCTGGGGTCTATATAACTATCAGGCAGCTTGTTGATGGCACTAGAGAGCTTCGTCGTGTCAGATTCAGGTAATTAACATCTTCATTTATTTGCATTCATAGTAAACTTTATAGTAGATACTTAAGATGGGTTGACATTGTTCGACTCGATATGAACAGCCGTGAAAAGTTCGGGGAAATGAACGCGAAGCAATGGTGGGATGAGAACAGGGAAAGGATCCAAGCTCAATACCTTTAACTTACTTATTCATGTTCCAAAAATTTTGTCTTTAGAATGTAATATTCAACAAAAAGCCATCAGCTGGATATAGAGTTCTTTTGCTAAGGAAATTTACTCACCACCAGCGACATATACAAAACCAAGTTTCTGATTTTCCTATCAGAATTCTGCAAGCCATTCTTTTATTTTCTTCCAAGGCTATATATTTTTATTTACCCTCTTTAAATAGTCTTTATACAATCTATTATTATCATTTTTTTTACAAGACAGGTGTAAAAATGGATCAGGTCGGGTTTTCTCTAAAATTGACCCGGCTTGACCTTGATAGGTTTCACTTAAAATGAAATGAAATCGATTAGCCTGGTCAATCCTATAGCTCCTGTCCTTCACCTCTTTCTATTATCCCATTTGGTATATCAGGATAGGCAGCTAAATAATACACCAGATCGAATAAGATAGGCCAGCTAAAATACGTTCTAGTGGAAATACATTTAAGATTGTGGAAATACATTTAAGATTGTTGTACGTTCTTTGCTTACACCAGAAGAAGCCGAAACCCACTCTCGTCATCCTAATTCATGAGTTCAAGCTTAGAACCTCTTGTTCGTTATCTAATGGGGTTTTCCGTCTTAATACTCTATCCGAGAGTTATCAAGATTTATATAATCTGAAGCATTATCTACTATTAGATAAGCCAAGGCAGGTTGGATCTTCTTATTTTCAACCAAAACCACAAAGTTTCTTTTCGTGAGCGAGGAGAGAAACTTGGGATGTACGTAGGCAAAATTTTGTCCCAAAATTAACTAAGATATGTAGCATTAGAAGCTATTTTGAGACCAACCTCCCCTTTCTTCCGTAGAATCTCAACGTGAATGGCACTCGGGAAGAAGCAGGGCGATCTGTGCAGTTCATGATCGATGGAAAAACCAAACATGGAAGACGAGAAGCTTGCTCACTCTACTTGGAAGAACAAGAACAAAAAGAAAGATAAAGCCTTGAAGAGGGAATTGACTGATAATTCTTTTATTTCATTACGCAAACAGAGTTTATAGCAAACATAAGAACAAAAACAGACAGTCAGCGGGGCATTTATTACATATATTCCCCGAGGGAAGCGTTGCATACGATTCTTCAAAGAACAAAAACATACACACCATTAGGACGATGACGAGAGGGAGAAAGGGCAGTCATCCTGCAACCTTCCTGGGGTAATTACTGCCATGTTGAATCTCTTGAGCGGGCCTTATTAACAGATCACTAGACGAACCGTTCCAACGGACACCCGCTTTCATCGGCCGAAGAAGCTGCCCGATAGATGGCTTGCGAGGGGCAATTGTCATGTTTGCCAACTTTTGGCCTGTATCGGAAACTCCACGCACATTATTTCCCCTGTAAATAGAGTCTGCAATATGCAAATATAAACCACTTCTTCCATAAACTAATCTTAGACAATAATTGAGGTAATGCAATAGTAACCAAGGAACTTGAGGTAATGCAATAGTAACCAAGGAACTTACTGGTAGGGCTATTCCTCACAGGCGGTCGGTACTTTGGTAGTCTAGCTGTGCTCTTCATAATTGTATCACTCTTATTTGCATCCTAAGAAAAGATGAAAAAGGTGAAACAATGTTAGTTAGGGTGAGCATGTTTATTTTGGGTGGCCGGGGAGAGGGGGCGGGCAATACTCACCGGGTTCACCAAATCCAACTTCCTCTGCACACCTGCAAGATGGTTTTGATGATTCAGAAATCGAGCTAACCTAAGTGTCTAAATAATGTTGGGGCATGCATGTTTGAAAGTGGTTCGAAATAGTTAAAATCAAAATTTTCTACCGAACATGCATTTAATTATTCAAAATCATTTTAATGTTTGGTTCTACACTTCTAAAACTTATTTACATACTATCTAAATACATTTTGAGGTGATTATAAACCTCACAAAAATGATCTTACCCATCTCAAAAAACACCGGGACATGCCCCCCTAATAAATACACTACCTGTGCTCAACAACGCAAACTTAGGAGAGGAGAAATTACCAGCGATTCTTGAATCAGATAAAGCCACAGGATATTTCTTAGCAGTCTGCTGCTCCAGAAAATTCTTTGTTCCAGCTGTGATAGTGAAGAACACATCAAAAGTTGTCCAACCAAGCAATGTTTTTAGCTTACCATGTTCAAAACAAGGGAGCTGAAATAAACATACCAGAAGGAGGGGTCCGAGCAAATGGCGCTCTAGCACGAAGAGACGGTGGAACATAGTAGCAACTCTGCCACACATTAAAATAAAACAAATCTTAAATGAAATTATACACATTTATTGATCTACTAGATGAAAAATAAAGGATTACCTGGAAGAAGGGATGTTGGAGGGCTTCCATAGCTGTTGGTCTCTTGGATGGATCCCATGAACAAAGTGACTGTAGACAAAAAATAAAAAAAAAATATATAGGAACATGCATTAATCAAATGAACACAAGGTGCTTCACCGTGTTTAAGCATTAAACGGTTCAGACCAGAGAGTTTCAACGGCCACCTATTTGTACTTACTGCAATAAGATTGACTGCATCATCACTCGCTGAAGGAATAACAACAGAGAGATGAACTCGATTAAACTGCAAATGTGAAACAAGAAAATACATCAAATATACACATATTTGACATGGTTATTTGCACCAAAAGAGGACGAAGGAGACCGACCTGCGGGTATTGATAATTGATATTCCTGGCAAGACAGAGCCCATCAGACCATGTATCCATAGTTGGAGTGCCAAGTATACTGCAAATTTTGTAGATTTGGTCTGGTTCGCTGCATGAAACAAATATAGAAAACTCTTCATATTAGATGACAATTTCAACTGTCATGTCAAATGACTACACCGTCTGGCCTAGCTTCCATTTTTGTTTTATAATTTTACCAAAATCTGTTGCAGGCATGATTCAAAAATAGCATCACAGACAAAGGAGACCATGAGTTTCACACAAAATCTCCTCACAAGAATACATGATAAAGATTAGATTTTGAAAGAAAAATAGCAGGGATGCAAACGAAAACAAAGCTTGCACATTCAACTATTTACAGAGTTCGTAATTATCAAACTACTTCATAACTAATAATAAAAGTATAAAACACAAGAAATAAAACAAATACCAACGTTTGCTATTATAGGGAACTAGGTGAAAGAAGGCCATAAAGTTCAATAAAAGATCATGACAAGTAGATCCCTACTAATTATTTTTATAAATAATATTGACAAGAAACAAATGGAAGGGCAGTTTGTAAGGAAATTCGTGAAACCAAGCACCAGAAATTTCTTTAAAAAATCAAGACATTAGTATTTTTGGCTTGGCACTAATAATTGTTTATGCATAAAGCATAAACAAGTAATAAGTGAATGTGTATGAGCTCACCTTGCTCCAGGAAAAAGTGGACGAAGAGTAAACAACTCTGCCATTATAGCACCCATTGCCCACATATCTGCAAAAAGTAAAGTAGTAAGCATGTATTAGATTAAGCTTTAACGGGGATGGAGCAACTAAAAAGTTCAGTCAATTCCTTACCAACTTTAGGACCATAAAGGTAGGACTGAAGCAGCACCTCTGGAGCTCTATACCTGAGACTCAAGATTAAATGTTACTACGTGGCATCACTGCAATCAGTGGTAAGGGGGGTAAGGGCAATAAAATGCAACAGCATCTATAACAGGAAAGAGATGAGATACACTTACCATCGAGTTGAAACATACTCAGTATAGGGTGGTAGTGCACTAGTTTCACGAGCAAGCCCAAAATCAGCAAGTTTTATCAAGTCTTTAGCAACTAATAAATTTTCTGGGAAAAGAAAAAAAGTTGAAGTTAAATAAATCGAAATCAAAAAGGGGGGGAGGGAAATATATATATATATATACACATATATAGATATAAAATGTGTTAATATGAAACAACGAGAGTAAACTATGAAATAAAGAACAAATACAAACACCATGCTCACAAAAGAGAAATATATAAAAATATCCCATAAATGCATGTTCACATAACATTTATCACATGAAAATACATCCCGCATAACAAAAACTTCCAACATACTCTAAAAGGTCAAAAGACCCTTAAGAAATAAGTCAGATTCAAAATGATATTAGCCGATGGTCTATGGAACCCAATTAAGTGCATTCTACTAGACACAAAAACAAGCGAGGTACCTGGTTTAAGGTCACGGTGAAAATAACCTCGCTGATGCATGTAGGCAAGACCTTGAAAAACTTGAAAGCACCAATTTCTCACTTCAGCTTCTGAGAAGAGTTTTTCCTTATCCTTCATAAGTTGATAAAGACTGCAATCCTGAACATCAAATTTTTGTTGAGTTAGGACAAGAATAATTTTTTAACATAAAATATGTACCGAGTTGAAAAAATGACACCACTAACCATGTATTCAAATACGAAGTACAAAATATTGTTTTCCCTGATAACTTCCTTTAGCTTAACAATATTAGGATGATTCATCTTCCGCAGTGACTGTGATGTTCAGATTGCAAGAAAATGAATTAACTTCAGGATAAGGAAAGAAAAACGAGGCAATCAGATAAAGAAAAAAAATGAAGGATGCATTACCTTCACTTCTCTTAGATTGACGCACTCCTCCCATGTGTAATATTTTTTCTTCATTTTCTTAATTGCAACCTGTTGATTTAAGGAAGAAGATCGCAAAGTGAAACTAATTGTTGAACAAATTTTCTCAAGATATAAACGCAGAGAGACATCAGCAGATGCTTACAGCTTCCCCAGTTTGCTTATTGATAGCTCGCCAGACACTTCCAAAAGTACCATCACCAACTTCCTTGATTAACATATACCTTAAAATGGTAATAAAATTGATAACCATAAGTTACACCATGCACAATTAAGAAAATTGCACAACAAAATGAGAAAAATAATGATAAAGCTAGGGGAAGAAGCTAACCTCTCCATTTTTTTCGCAGAAGCACAAAGACAACCTCCTTTATTCAAAAGTATAGAAACTTGAAAATGATAACTTGCATCTATCTTTGTATAATGACTAAGTAAACAACCGTCTTGCACTGATATAACAAAAGCCACCACTAATTTTCCTTGGTGAAGTGCAAAAGCACAAAACCAGAAAAATTCTGATGTGCAGGCTGTGCAGCTTTATTCATTAAAAAATCCGCAGATTCGACTTCAAGAGAGGAACAATATAGCAGTATATGACAAACACCACTGAACATGTTGAACCTTGAGAATAAATGTCCAAACCAACTGAGCAGTTGGAAATACCAGATGATTACAATATTAACTTGAAGCTATCTCATAATTCTACTTTGAGATTGAAGATATATCCTCCAGTAAAAAAGATCATGACTCTCTAAACATCACCAGTCCGGAACAAGTATAAAGAACGAATAACAACCAGCAGAGGTCAATGTGATAGTCTTCACTTTAGGTAGTTGTGAAAACAAGCTTTGATGTTTCATTAACAGAACTCAGCTCTGTAGAAAAAAAGGACTGAGGATAGAGTTGCATGCAACAAATTTAAAACAAGAAAGAAGAAGAAGAAGAGCAACACAAAGAAAGTGCACGTTACATCATACCCCTGAAGAAGTCTCCCCTAGAAAATCACCCTGATGCTTCATCAACAACGCTCTGCATCCAAAATAAGAAATTCAATAAATACGAAAAGTGAAACTGGATATTAAAATTCACCAAAACATTAAGTATAAAAAATAGTCCATACTTGAACAGTTGCACTAACGATCCAACACCTATCTCATAAAGTAATTTCATTACGCCTCTTGTGCTGATCATTTAGAAGAACTTGACCACTAAGTGAAATTGACGAAGGAAACCAAAAGAAAATCGCCAACGACAAGGAAACGCCAATCAAGCACTTCCTGGAAAGAGCAAACTCGATGATGGAAGGAATTTGTCCAAATAGAAGCAAGCTCCATATCTTGAGAAAATATAGAAAGCCCTTTATATCCAAGCCCTCAAAGACCTGATATTATACATTAGCACCAAAGCATTAGAACAAATATTCACGGAAGAAATCAAGAATAAGTCAGTCTAATTTATCAAATGAGCAAAAAAAGGTGGATATGATGCCCACAAGGCTGCAATTTATCAGACTCAAAAGATCATGCAGCAAGTGCCGGATACCCAAATCTGATCACAATATACAACAAACTATTGATAGAGTAAAACCAAGAGAGATAACAACTCCAGCAAACCAAAAGATCATGCAGCAAGTGCCGGATACCCAAATGCTAACAACTCCAGCAAGGTCAGTTCAATTACGTATCAAGGAAGACCCCAATCAATAACCAATATTAGAATCAGGCATTTCGAGCTAATCCAGGCAAAACCCCTAATCCACCAACCGATTAGTCGTCAAGAATTCCTATTCACAAATAAGAAAGCACAGAAAACAGCAACACGCAACGATCCCGTCTAACAAAATTCTTTACAATCAGTGCGCAGACAAAATTCCACGAGATTTGGGGCATGAAATAAAGATAAAACCCTAAATCACCAACCAACCAGTCAACAAGCTTCAAATTCACGAATAAGCAAGCGAAACGAACATCACAGCGCCACAAACTCACAAACTCACACCCAATGAAAATTTGTTCAATCAATAGAAAAACAAATCCGCACAAGATCGCCGGGCATGAATCAGCCATATGCTCACACACCAAAATTAAACGAGAAACAAATAAATCCGAAGGCCCAAACTCCAAATACGATCAATTAATCCGTCAATCGAAGCACATCATAAATCAAACAAATAGTGGGGAAAATGACCTCTAGATAGATTCACAAGAACATAGAGAGAAATCGAATTAAATCGATAACGAAAAATGAAGAATCATAACCTCCGTCGGAAAGAACGGGAAGAATTGGGATCCAGAGCTTCCCTCAGCGCTCTTCTTTCCCCTCAAATCTTCTCAACACCACGGAGAAACCAGACGGATTCCCAAATACCCAAAAACCAAGAGATCTTTTCTGCGTGCCAACCAAGGTAAAGATACCTAATTTCCCATCATGACCCACACCGATGCTTATTTATATACCTAGGGTTTCTATTCTCTACGGGCAAGCCCACTTATTTTCAATCTGCTCACGGATTTCGACCGCAATGATCTCCTGGCTCAAGCCACTTGGCAGCTCCTGATTGGTCTCCCTATATTAAATCATTAATTAATTGTTATTATTTCCCCGATATTTATTTATTTATTTATCTTTTTTACCTTTTTGAATTCTTGTACGACCAAAATTCCTTTCCCCAACGGTGATGGATAGTTCGGTTGTTGGTAAAGTATATTTAGTTGGAATTTTGATTAAACCAAAATAATTAATATTTATATATAATTACGAATTTAGCCTTTAAACTTTAATAAATTACATTAAATAGCTCCTTAAATTTCAAAATATTTAATATAATTTTTTAGTTTTTAATTTACAAAAATCATTTAGGAGCTATTAATGTTTCAATTCATTGAGGTCTTCTAATTAAGGTGGACATGGCTTGAGTTAGGTTCGGTTAGAAAAATCTTTTAGACTAACCTTTGGTTGGTTGGGTTAGTCAACTGAACAACTCGAATAGAGTTCACAATCCCACCTTCAATTTTCGGAATGGGTTGGTTGGGAGGTCGAGTTATTTCTCCACCCTATATGTTACAGCTCAAATATCAAATATTCACAAGTCATAATGTGTCGTAATAATCTTTAAATATAATTTATGTAACAGTTCAGATCCACCGCTAGCAGATATTGTCCTCTTTAGTTTTTCTAAAGCCTTGAGGGAAAGCAGTACAATATCGGTTAGCAGTGGATCTAGACTGTTAGTTTAGTTCAGTTGTAACACTATTTTCAGATTGGTCAGTTGACCGAAACATGTTAACTAAAAAACCGATCCAAATTTTTGGGTTTTTAAAAAATTCAACCCAATCCAAATCGGAAAAAAAAAAAAAAAAAAAAAAACCCTTTTCGGATGGAATAGTTCTGAATTGATTGAACTATCAGATCATACAATCACCACCTCACTCTTAATCTCTTATATAATATCGTTGTTGAACTAAAACAACCAGTATTCCAAAATTATATCATTTTAATATCAAATTTTGATTTCAATTGTCGTTTGACCTAGGTTAAATTAAAAATTATTTTAACTTCCAAACAGGCTCGTTAATGTAAAAACATTGTCGAGTAAGCCGAAACGTATTGAAAATTGGTACGAAAAAATTAAAAATATGTTGGAATAGATATTAGGTAGAGAATAAAATGGGAAGATAAAAAGGTTGGGTATGAGAATCTTTAAATATGATTGGTGGAAGCTAAGGGAATGTTGCTTTGAATATGTATGAGATATTGTTATTGATAAGGATGTTCAATAAAAATATAATTATTTCTACAAATCTTTTCTTTATTTTATTCCAAAATTATATATAATATATTTTCCTTTTCCTTTTCCTTTTTGCACCTAACATTAAAAATACTATATCTATTGGTGTGATACCTTTCCGAAAGTCCAAAACAAAGTCATGAGAACTTATGGTCAAGATGGACAATATCATCCTACCATTGTGGAGAATCGTGTTCATCTAACATGACCTAAACTTAGCCTCCTAAACTTAGCCATGCCAATAGGGAGCCTAGGCACATCTATCAATATGGAGCCTAGGCACATTTAATATGGTATCCCCTTAATTTAGCCATGTCAATAGGGAGCCGAGCATAGACACATCTAATATGGTATCAAAGTCATGTCTTAAACTTAGTCATGTCAATAGGGAGTCGAGCCTAAGCATACTTTGTTCGAGATGTGGTATTGGATGAAAGTTCATCGGCTAATTTAGGTGGAATGAGCCCCGAACTTACACTCAAAGTGAACAATATCATACTATTATAGAGAGTCGTGAACTATAAGATATATATATATATATATAAATAATAAATAAGGCCTTCCAATATTTGTCTATGGAGATTCCTAATTTCCACTTTTTTTATTTATTATTATTTGTTTTTTTGGATTTATTGATATTTTTTAATTTTTTTATTATTATTTGTTTTTTTTATTTATTGATATTTTTTAAATAATTTTTTCTTTTAGTAATTTTGTGTGCCATTCGTTTTGTATTTTTTTTTTAAAAAAAATTCTATTCAAGGAATCTCAAATATTTTTTAAATGGAACATAAAAGAAAAAAAAAGAATCTAATAATTATTTTTATAAAAAAAAGAAAGAGAATCTAATAATTATTTTTTTTTATAAAAAAAGAAAGAGAATCTAATAATTATTTTTTATAAAAAAAAGAAAGTCACAACTTGATTGAAAATTCAAATATTCAAGTCGAATATTGATAGGTGAATTGAACATTAGAAAGTATCAGAATAAATTTAATTAAAGTTTAAATATTTGAAAATTAAAAAAATATTGATTTAATTTTTAAAATTTTGTTTAAAATTCGAATAGAAACAAATTTACCTAAAATTTGTGGGAAAGCAAAAATAGTTTACAAAAAAAAAAAAAAAAAAAAAAAAAAAAAAAAAAAAAAAAAAAAAAAAAAAAAAAAAAAAAA